CTCCTGCCTCAGCCTCCTGAGTAGCTAGAATTACAGGTTTGCACCACTGCACCATGCTTAAGAGCTTTACTTTTTAAAGACTCATAATAAGAACGCGGGGTGGTAAATATAGATAAAACAAGACTGGCCATGTGTTGATATTTCTCAAGCCAGAAAAGGAGTGTTCATTACATGTTCTCACTACTTCTGCTGTTGTGTATTGGTTACTATTCTGTTTATTCATATATAATGTGCATATATCCATATATGTATTTCCCCTCCAGTCAACTGAAAGGGCCAAAAGCAGAGCCATCCCGGTACCAATGACCACTCTGAATACCTGGTCTCAATGTCATTCTCCCCTAAAAGAGCCCAGGGAAGCAGGGCCTGTTGCTGTGCCAGAAAGCAAGAAAATGTTCCAAATATGGTGGCGCCACATCTAAAGGAAACAGGAGACTGGAGGTGTAGCTCAGCGGTAGGCCACTTGCTGTGCACACGTGCGGCCCTGGGTTCAATCCCCAGCACAAAAGGGAAAAAAGGGATATCAGAGCTAACTGAAGCATTGAAATAAATAATATTAATGATACAATATTCGTGGAGTAAAATCAGCAGTAAGAGGCCATGCTGGCTGGGGATTTAGCTCAGTGGTTCTGGCACCTGCCTCGAAAGTGCAAGGTTCTGAGTTCAATCCCTGGTACCTACCCCACACACACACTAAAAAAAGAAAGGAAGGCTTGCAGGGCATGGTAGTGCACATCTGTAATCCCAGCACTCAGGAGGCTGAAACAGGAGAATCGGCATGAGTTTCCAGCCAGCCTGGGCTACATAGTGAATTCAAAGCCAGCCTGAGCTACAAAGTGAGACCCTGTCTTAAAACAAACAAACAAACAAAAACAAAGACAAAAAAAAAGAAAGGAAGGAAAGCTATAAAATTTCTAAATATCTCATTACAAATTGCTTATTACAAAGAGGAAAAGTTGCTTCTGTGGATTAACCTAACAAACACCACTTTAACCAACTAACTAAAATTAGTATCATTAATAAATGGAATAAATTACCATAACAACTTTCTAGTAAGATGCCCTGAAAAGGACATGACAGATTTTCCAGATATTCCAGCCCAACATAACTGAATCTAATTATAAGAACTCACCAGACAAATACAATCTGAGGAATGTCCTAAAAATAAATGTTATTTTGAAAGACAGATAAACGTTAAGAAAGAAAACTAAGGGTTTGTGATAGCAAAATTACCCTAGCTTAGACCACACACCAATTTACTAAGCAAAACATAGCTATAAGAACATTATTTGGATAAATGATGAAATTTGAGTATGAACTATGGATTAGTTCTGACAGGCTCCCCCAAGTGAGACCCCTACCCAACTGAGGAAGAAAAAACCCCAACAGAGCATTGCCTGCAAGAACAGAGATGACAGAAGCCAGGGCCGCCTTGCTCATTCACACCTGCAAGGAGATCGA